GGAGTTGAAGTCCACTCTGGACTTCTGGGAGTTGAAGTCCACTCATCTTAAAGTGGCCAAGTTTGGACAACACTGGTTTAGTGCATGGCTCAGAATGGAGAGGGCTGCTTGTTGTTCCTCTGTAAAGTTAGACAAAGAAGTGCAGATTTTCCACTTACCACGGAATGTCCACAACCAGCCAGCAGTCCTATGAAATTAGAGGTTTCCATGCCAAAAGTTTCTTCTAAGCATTGATGAACCTATCATCAGTCAAGGCCGAATAGTCTGAATATTCAAAGCTAGCATTTCCAGAAAAAAGACGCCCTCCAAATCTTCTCACAGACTTCTTAAAATTATATGTTAAAAAGTTCAGCTGTGGAAGGGGTGAATCAGGATGGATTGTGTGACATTGTACGGAAGGTGTATTCTTGAACATCTTTTCCATTGGTTAGTGCATTTGCTCTCACTAGGACTAGAGGAAGGGGAGGAAGGGAGGAGGCAGACTAGGAAATGAGTGCTAGTAGAAAGGATTAAACCTTGCCTCGTCCAAGGGCTGTGGTCCGGGGCCCAGACCACCCTCCCAAAAAAGCCGCATGGATTCCTCAGGGTCATTTTTTAAAATGTTCACAGAGGCAAACGCTCTGATGGCTGAGACCCATTGACAGCTCAATTCAGCCTATAATAAACCTTACTTTCTGTCCCCAGACCAAAAACTCTTCAGATTTGCTTTGTAATGTTACCCTTTTATAAGATCATCTACTTGTCTTTCCCAGTCAGAAAAACTTCAGTTATGTTGGCTAGGGCCTCCGTAATCCCCAGCCAGAATGGCCAACTGTAGGAGACTGATGAGGGTTGTATCCATTGTACCTGCGAGCCATCAGGTTGAGAAATATTTGTATAACGATAAGGAATCCATGAAATATAAAGGGGTTAATATGGCACTTATCCCCTCATTACTGATTGTGTTGTCCACAACAAATGCATGTCCTTGCTATAAAGGTGTGCTTCTTTTCAAATTCCCAACCAGGAAAGTCTTCACCATGAGTTTGTGTGTTTTATGTGTAAGAATGAATGCATGGATAGATGCATCTGTGGCCTTGTGCATCTTTTATGCATGAGTGGATGTGTATGAATCAGCATGGCGTTTGTTTGGCAGCAAGAATGCGAGTATGTGGTGGTCAAAGGGCAAGACTTCTGCAACCTTGTAAAGGTTAAGTGTAACCTTTGTGTGTTTCATGGTGCCTGAAAACCATTCCATATGCATGAAACATAGAAACATGGGAGGTTAGTTTGACTCATTTTGTCTACTGTTGTTGATGCTGACTGAGAGATGGTCCCCCAGATACTGGCCAGGATGTTACCTACCTGTTGGTGGAGTTGAGCCTCATGTGTGCAACGTGTGTGTGCTCAGTCACTAAGCCTAAACTAATATCAAGCCAATTCTGTCTTTCACCAGAATAGTGTGTCCTTACAATACGTTAATGAACAACAGTTCCAAAATGCGCTGAGAGACATTGATGCTGACATACCCCGGACTGATCGACATCGGACCTTCTTCCAGTGAGAGCGTCTCCTTCTCCAGCCACAACTAAGCTGAAACCAAAGGCTGGCTATCCAGCCCATTTGCAGACTCAGAGCTTTCAGGCTGGGTTGCTCTCTGAACAGCTTGCCCAAGCTGAACATAGCCAGCCTGGCTTCTTCTGCTTTGCCAGACCCAGGAAGAAGAATGTTTATAAACACCTGGTGAATTGTCAGCTGTAACTGACAGGTCTCATCTGGCTTGGTGGATCAAAATTGGTGCAGGGCTAAGTGGGAATATCTATCAAATCAGATTTGATTAAAATTGGGCATATCAGAAACACAAAAACATTATTTGGGGGAATATTTGCATTTTTACAACAAACTGATTTGATTACTCATCCCTCTCAGAAAATGCAGAATCTTGTTACCATTCTTTTATTTGCTGAAATTTACCCTGCGTTCCACCTTGGAAAAAACCAAATTACTCAAAACTGAACTCGTACAACCAAGACAGATTCAGTGTAGGTGATCTGAAGTCATATTTCCTGACCATTTTTTTTTTTTAATTAAAAGCAGTCATGGAGTGATCCAATCTTGCTCATGCAGGATAGCTAGACAAACAGATGCTTAACTTTCCCACTCCTGTGCTGGTTTTGTGAACTAAATACCTCCTAATATAGTTACTAGCTTTCTGGATTGAGGCCACTTAGAAGACTTAGACACACTCCTCCTTAAACTGCTGCTCTAATCAAATTGGTTTTCCCCATCCCCAAAATGCTTCACCGCTTTTTAAAAGACAACCTCAGTTTATCTGTGCCAAGAACCACAACAACAAAGAACAGGGACAACCTTGAAGTTGCTCAGTTACCCTCCGGCAGCAGGTTGAACAGACTTTGAACTACATTTCTGTTTAGATTCTAAGAATTATTCATACATGTATGCAGAAACACACATACCACTGTATAATTTGCAAACTTGATGCAAATCCATGTCTTCTCTTATCTGGCGATGAATGATCTGTCGCTGCTACCGTAGCACCTGTGAGTTTCCTCTCTCTTTACAGACGTGAAGGGCTAGTGAAGCTGCTTTACCTCCGGGACATTCTCATCACGTACGCAGCCTTTCACCAAGGTGAGGAAACCATTGTATAATGCCTGCTTCCAGGAATTTCAGCTGACAATATCAGTCTCCTGCCTGTTGTTTCCCTACTCTGTCCACCTCCCCCCTCTCTGTTCCTGACACTTAACGGTTCCACCATTCATCATTTATATGGGCCTCTCAATGTGCCAAGTATTTTTCAGCCCAAAGTATTTTTCAGAGAGATGCAGAGCTTTTCTTAAGGAGGTCTAAGGAAGAAACAGACTTGCCTTCCAGAGGTGTCTGCTGAATGTTGTGCTAAGCATTCCCATATCTGATATTTGGTAGAGGTTGCATAATGCAAGATGTGCAAAATCCTATCTCCATCTCTCCCCACCCAGGGCTGGCTCTATCATTGGGCAGAGTGTGCCAGCTGCTTTAAGGCAACAGATGCTTATAGAGTAGGCAGGGCAAGCTACGCGTGTGCCCTGTGCTTTCTAAGATAGCTGCTGCTATCAGGTGCTGGGAAGGATATGCTTCCATCATTGTCACTACCAATCTAATCAATTAATGTACACAGAATTGAGAGGGGCACTGGGGTGGGGTGGGGTGGGGTGCCTCAAGCAGCAAACTGTCTTAGGCTAGCTCTGTTCCCCACCCTTAAACCTCTGAAGCTAGTCACGACATTTCTGTTCTTTCCCCTAAGATTGCTCTTTACCCCATGTTTTGAAAAGTGCTTCGAGAGGCTATTGTATTGGAAGTGGTATAAAAATGGTGCACATATCCTACTTTAGGAGTTTATCATACAAACCGATGCCTTTTCATTCAAAAATGAGTTCTACTAATTCAACAGGACATTTTCCCAAAGAGGGGTGCATCACATTGCAGCCTAGATGTAGAATTCTACCTCGGGGGTGGGGGCGCTGCTAAGGACTTTTGAAGGCTGCAGACCTTCCTTTCCACTAGCACAGCTTCTTCGTTCCAGTGGAAAAGAAATCCACACCAGAGCGTTAACTGCTGTGTTGCAGGAGCAAAAAGCTCCATTGGCAGAGCTTGGGCAACTGTTGCTCCTTTCTAGCCAGCCCTACCATTAAGCGAGGGAGGCAACAATTCCAGGCCACGAACACCAGGAGTTCCCCGCTGTTCCTCCTGAGACTTGCCATGCCCCTGGGTTGGATGGCAGAGCTATGTATCTGCCTACAAGCCTCCCTGGGTTGTGCCCCCAAGGAAGCAAGCCCTACCATCAGAGGCATTACAGGATACTGGCCTATCATCAGTTTTGAAGGAAGAGGCAATATATTGTCGAAGGCTTTCACGGCAGGCATACGATGGCTGGTGTGGGTCTTCCGGGCTGTGTGGCCGTGTTCTGGAAGTTTTGTTTCCTAATGTTTCGCCAGCACCTGTGA